GGATAGAGCAGGGTTTAGGGCTGTTGTGCATAGGGTCGCTATGAGTCGGAAACGACTCGATGGCACATAACAACAACAACAACAACAACAACAATGTAAGTTTACAGAGATTTTGGATTTCCATTCATTTACTGTTGCACAATTTCCTCCCTGTCCAGCCCTCCCCCTCAGTTCCCTTTTCTCTTTGAAAAATAAAATAAACTTTCATTGTTATACAATTCCCGCCCTCAGTTCACTCCACTATGCAGCTTTCATCAAGAAACAAATGGATAGAGAAGCTTTGGTATATTCATCAGTGGAATACTATGCTGCATTGAAAAACTAGGAACTCATGAAATATTATACAAAATGGGTGACCCTGGAGGACATTATGCTGAATCAAATATCTTAGTCACAAAAGGACAACTACTGCATAGTGACACTATTGTAAAGCAGGAGTTGGGGGGAAATTAAGAGGGGATAAATAATGTACACTGCATTGAAACAGATGAGTGAGAAAACTGTGTAGAGGGAATATATGATTAGGTATTACTGTCATGAAAAGAGCCAAGTTCCTTTTTAAAGCTCACTTGACTAGGTCAGTCTCACCCAGGATAATCTCTTTAAGTCAAATGATTCGAGCTGATGAGGGATCCGAACCACCACTGAAGCCTTTGCATTAGCTCACCATATGCCACAATGTCACAGCAGAACTCAGACTGGTGTTTGACAGGATAATCCACAAACAAGAAGATTCTTTTTTAAGTGTATCTTTAAATAAGATTTGTAGGTAAGTTGAAACAGGTGCAGACAGTTCTTTAGTGCAAGAAAAGACTTTCAGTCTTTCCAATTATGTAAAAGCTACATGTGCACTGAGTGAAGGGAATGATAGTGAATGAACCGTGAGTAGGGATTGGTTTAATTATTCAGAAGTGAGCACATTTACTTACCATTATAGGGTTTAAGAGTGAGTTGTCTGAAAGTCGTACACAACCAATGCCAATGACTTAATATTAAGTCCACATAAGACAAGACACTTTATAAGTCTAAGAACAAAACAAAAAAATAACATTTAGAGATAAAAAGCAGGCAAGGCACTGTCCTATTCGTCTTAAACTTCCTGTCACATTTTACATAAATGATTATGTGAAAATATGTTCTATTGCGAAGAAGTGAAAATTCTAGAACACTTAACTGTGCTTATACACAATTATATACATAGCCCAATAAGTTTTTCAGAAAGAAAAATCGAATACGGGAAGGCTTAAAATCAGGAAAAGTATGCTTCAGAGGTGTATGCTTTCACCATACTTATTCAGCCTGCAGGGAGCTCTGATGGTTTAGTGCTAAGGGATTGCACTGCCAACCCAAAGGCATGTGGTTCTAATTTACAGCTGCTCCTTGGAAGAAGGATGATCAGTCTCCCCACACACAATTTATAACCTGCTGAAGGGTTAGACGTACATTAGTTCTAACTCCACAGTACATAACCACCACAACAACATTCAATCTGTGTGCTAAACAAAGCGTCTAAGAAGCTCAACCATATGAAGAAGAATTAGACTAAGATTCCTTAGCAGTAGTAATATGCAGATGACCAACCTTGATTGAGGGAGGATAAAGAATGAAGTACCAAGACTATATCCTTCAGTATTGATTAAACCCCAACAGAAAAACCCAAAACTCCTCACAACTGAATCAATCTAATAAATGACATCATGATTGATGGAGAAAAGAATGAAGTTACCAAAGATTTAATTTTACTTGGATCCACAATCAAAACCTAAGGAAGCAGTAGTTAAGAAATCAGCAACTCTGCTGCAAAAAACCTCTTTAGAGTGTTAAAAATGAGAATGTCCCGTTGAAGACTTAGGTGCACTTGACCCAAGCCATGGTCTTCTCAATTGCCCCGTGCAGCTGTGAAAATCGGACAATGAATAGTGGCAGCCAAAGAATTGATGCCTTTGAATTGTGCTGTTCATTGAATATTGACTACAAAATAGATTTTCAAAAGATCAAACACACTTGTCTTAGAACAAATGTTATGAAAATGCTCCTTAGAACCATGGATGATGAGACTTCATCACACATACTTTGGGCATGTTATCCAGGAGAGACCAGTCCCTGGGGAAAGACAGCATGCTTGGTAAAGCAAAAGGTCAGTGGAAAAGAGGAAAACTCACCCAGGAGTATACTGACACAGTGGAGGGAACAGAGCTTAGCAGAGACCTTAAGGCTGGTACAGGATCAGACAGCCATACGTGAGATCACTGTGAGTCAGCTTTAACTCAGCAACATGTAACAACATAAGCCATTTTCTAAAATTCCAACTTTATAAAAATGTTTACCTTTTTTAAAAAAATATTTTTATTGTGCTCTGACTCTTAGAACAATCTGCGTCCTCACCTCTAATATGCTCTCTATGCTTTATTCTAATGACCATTTTCTTCACAGATAAGGTTTCATCCAGCTTGATATGGAGACACAATGAATATTCAAAATGCCTGCCCTCAAACTGTTTGCCGTCTAATTGTTTTTGTTATGTGCCTGGAGTTGGAACAACCCGCAGATGACCTTTAGCAGGTTTTCTGAGGCAGTTAATCAGAAGGGAGGAGATTGCCCCTTTTCTTGCCACAGAGCAGCTAGTGGATTGGAACCTCATGCCTTCAGGTTGGCAGTGCAGTTCCTTACCGTTAGGCCACCAGAGCTTTCTTATAGTCTTATAGGAAATATATATTCCTTGGGTATTCCCATATGCACATCGTAAAAAATGTCTATTTAAGTGTCAATTATCTTTGTAGAATAATTCTGCGCATTTGTTTTTCTATGAGAGCCAGGGCATCTGAACTGAAGGAGTTCAAGAAAGGGAAACCTGTATCTGTCTACCCTATTTTCTTGACCTGCCTCAGCCAAAACAGCACAGTGACAACTTTTTTAACATGTTTTGTACTGAATTCCCTGTGATTGGAGGAAAAACCACAAAAAACTAGAAGGCAGCGAGATGTAACGGTAACAAGAAGTAGTATAAGTAGGTAAGATTCATGGAGAAAATGTTTTTTTGCAAGCAAAGAAGAAGGCAGGGAGGAAGGAAATATACTTTGTCTCTCCCACCTGCTCAATTTTTATGCTAATTACACCAAGAATCCTACTCCAGCAGGCAAAGGCAGAATTGGCAAGCACTAAAGAACTTCTAAGGGAGTGCCTAAAGTTATACAGTTCGAATCCACTAGCTGCTCCGCTGGAGAAAGATGGGCAATCAACTCCCAATGGGTTTATTGCCTCTGAAAAACCGCAAAAAGACCATCTAGGAAACTCTGGTGGCCTGGCCCATAAGGAGTAGTACTGCAAGCCCAAAGGCTGCATCTCTGGCTGTTAGGATCTGGTGGGAGAAAGATGTGCCATCTCCTCCAATGCGATTTACAGACTTGGAGTCTACAGACTTACTCGACTAGGAGTTGGTTCCGATTCATCAGCTATCGGCTTGAGTGTGAGTTTACAAGGAATCTCTAGATTTGTAGGTGGGCATCCCAGGGAGCCAGGAGAGGTGGGCAATTGCACACAGAGATGAGCACCCCCACCTCTTTCTTGCACACCCCTGTCCTGCCTACCTTCTCTTCCTAGTGACCATCAGCCCAGACGTGGAGTTCTGCACCTACCCGTCTCCCTCCCTGGTTGATTACTGTATTAGCATCATCTGCGGGAGAGGCATCAGGGCACGAGTTAGGTAGGCTGCACGAGGGTCCTGCGGCCCCACCCGGCCCTGCCAGGTGCCAACCACTCCACTGATAAATACGTGGCGTCTGCGTCCTGAGCACTAGCTCAGGCTCTCCATTCTGCGTCCTCAGTTCGTTTTCTCCTTTTCTTCCCACCTTGTGGACCCTCCACTCATGGAGGAGGAGGAGACGTACCTGGATTTCTACCTGGACCAGTGTGTAGCTCAGGTGAGCCTGGGTCAGGTCCCACATACTTGTCTGTCCTGTTGCTGAATGCCAAGTTCCTCTGTGCCAATGACTCTGCCACAGTGACTGTAGCGATGGGCCCTCATATATCAGAGATGGTGATGGTGGTGCAGGATAGGGCAGGTTCAGATCCGTTGTGAGTCTTACTTGACCACAACACCTAACACTAGCATCTCATTAAAATGATTAGTGACCTAAGAAGCAAGTTTAGCAATCCCTGTATGTCAGCTAGAAAACTAGAAGCTTGGGGAGGTGAAGTAACTTGGCCAAGGTTGCCAACCAGAACTCACACTTGGGCCAGTAGCTGCCAGAACCATGTAGGTGCTTAAGGCAGTTTAGACAGCAGCTCCAGTTGCACAGAAATGCACCAGGAGTTGGACTCGGTGCTTCTGTACCTGACGATCTCGGATTCTGATGTGTTTGTTTTGCTACAGTCAAAGTAGACTATTTCCTATAACCTGAATGCTATTCCTTCAAAGACCATTGCCAACCACAGACCCCGAGAATTCACCTCTTTTGTGTCTAGAGTTGGTAATCTCAGGACTTAACCAAAATGTCCATGGGGACACGTGTAGTATCTTTCACTTGATGATTCTTAAAGGAGATTTTTGTTTGGTTTTCACTTTTTTCCCTTAGCCTTTTCTGTCTCAGCTAAAAAAAAAAAATCTTAGAATAAAATATTGTAGAAGACTTCAAAAGAGAACGAGAATGACCTTTTTTCCTCCATCTGCAGCATTTGGGGGGGGGGGAAGTACTGAGAGTAGAAACAGAAGGGTTCTGGGAAGGAAAAGTTGATAGTTCTGCAAAAGACTTCATTAGATATTGGGCCAAAGAAGCAGCAAATATATTGGTTTTTAAATAAAGCTTATGTTATACATGTGTTTACCAAGTTGTACATTACCTATGTTTGGTATTTCTACAATTAAACTTTGGAGGGTTTATTGCCAGGTTCCTTTTGTCATGAAATACCCCCCCTTCGATAGATGACCACCTTAAATTTCTTATGGAAGTTTAATTTCATTGGTGGATGGCTTTGTCCCCCTGCTACCATGCCATGGTGGGAGCAGGGGAGAGAGATACACAGATGGCTTAGTAATATGGCTTAGTGTAATTGGCTGTTGAAAGGTTTTCTAGCTGGAGAAGAAAAGGCCAAGGGAACAATGGAGAGAATGCTGGGAACCATTTGTCCCATCTAAGTTTTCTTAAGGTCACTCACTCTGTAAGGCAAGGATGGGAAACTGATGACCTAATTCAAAATACAAGTTTTTTAAAAAAATCTCATTTCAGTAAAGGGACTTCCGTGTTCTAAGTGTTATAGTTGAATAATTAATCACCCCTGCCACCTGGTGGACTTGTATTCCAATAACACGAAAAAGAAACAGATCTGGCCAGATGTCTTCATGGGAGCTGAGGTAGCTTCTTCACTAAGGTAGGGCAGTGTGAGGTATCCACAACCTGTCAAAAGTCAAACCCACTAAAAGATGGGGGTGTTTCCTGCAAGCAATACTAAAAATCTGGGCAATTGGCTTGTCATGTGAACAAAGCAGGTAGTAATGTATGTACCAAGGTAACAGAAGGTTTTTTGGTAATAAAGCCATTCCATTTTAGAACATAAATTTTGCATTAGCTGCTTCAATTGCTTGCACAGCTCATTACCTCAGCTGATGACTAATGGAAGCTGAGCAGCCTTTTTTGAGCTGGAAATACATTGATTTTAAAGAGCTCCTATCATTTAATTTGTAATAACTTCACACACACACACGTTGTAAATTCATGTAACCAGATGGTTTTCTTATCCATTCTTTGACTATACAGAAAGGGTTGGATCATTATTGGAATTTGGTTAGCAATCAAGGCTACATCTTAAATTTCTTTCACTCAAATTGTCTTTTTAAAGTGAATTTTAAACAGTTGTTGTTGTTGCTGATTGCCTTAAGTTGAGCATTTGTTAATAACCTAAGGAATCAATCTCTTCAAAGCTGCACAGTTTAGCATAAGACTGCTCAATGATTTCAGATACAAATTGGATTTGCAGAGGGGCAACTTAATAGGGGGTCTAACAAAGTGAGAAGAAAAAGTCATAAAAATCCTTTTCCTCTATTTTAAGATGCATTTCATTGCTGCTATTAAGTGTCCTGTAATCCTAGTGTTAAGGAGTTGGGCCGTAAGTCAGGTGGTTCAAGTACACCAGCCGCTATCCAAAGGAGGAAGGTGGACAATCGCCTCCTGTGCTGTTTGCAGCCTCTGAAAACCCACTGCAGGGTCATCTGTGACTCAGTTCCAACTCCACATCACCACCACCCTCTAATAGTAGTTTGTGGAGAGAATGGTGTGTGTAAATATAAGCTACCTTGAACAACCCTGTCTCACTGCACATATCAACTACCTGCCATAACGGTGTCCTTTTGGTATACTCTTCTGTTTGTTGTGCTCTGTCTTGGGAACTGCCTAGGAGGAACTTGCCCCACCCAGATCTCCCCTGTTCAGCCTGGTCTCCTCTTATGATGTGTACATGCCGAATGCATCCAATCCAGAGACACCATTTAGTTTACCTCTTGAAGTTAAAGAAACCTCTGGTGATTTCTCGTCTGTGGATCTTAGCCTCCTACCAGATGAACTTACCCAAGAAAATAAAGAGGAGACTGTCACTGGAAGCAAGGATGAAATTGAAAAAAGTTGTAAAACTCAAAGTCACCAAAATAGGTTGCATTTACCTGGTGACCATGACACTGGCCTGGGCTTCAGTGGCAGCAACCAGTCAAGTTCCTGGACACATCTGCACCCTGACAATGCTGACTCAGTCCAGCCCTCTGAGAAACCAACCTGCGACTCCTTGCCTCTGGGATCCATAACTCTCATGAAACCAATGACCCCAGTGTCAGAATGCTCTGGAATTGTGCCTCAACTACAGTAAGCTATTTGTTTTTATGTGTAATGGTTCTTCGTATATACACTTTTATGCTTCTTAATGTGAAGTCAAGTAATATCAGAATAATAGGATATGAAAGAGAATTTCAAATTGCCTTATTCTTTATCAGGTATTAACAGTTGTGATTTGAGACAGTTTGGTTGTCTGTAAAAGGAAGCACTAAATCTTGACCTCTTGAAGAAAAGGGTTGGTAAAGCACTGGGATTAATGGGATTCAAGATTATAAAGTGGTTTAAATTTAAAGATATGAATTTGAATTAAGTTTGCAATTGTAAACATAAACAATTTTTAAATTGTAACATAGTTTTGAAAATTATCTCAAACTTCAATCTTTTAGGAATGAAATTTTAGAAAAAACTATTTTAGTGCTTCACTTTGGGATTTTACATTTTATTCACCCACCACACACTGCTGTAGAATCTGTTCCAATTCAGAGATTCCCCCTCAGGTTTCTGAGGTTGTAAACTGTAACAAGAGGAAACTGCCCATCTTTTTCTCAGAGCCTCTGCTGAATTTGAATATCCAGAGAAGTGCAGGCTTTGGGGTTAGCTGCGAAATTCTACAAACCACACAATCAGAACTCCCTACATCTTACTAGAGAACATATAACTATGCATTTCATACTAGAACAATTTTGCCTCCAGGAAGTAGCTAAATGAGTGACTTATCAAAGACAAATGAAAAAGTTTTGAGACAGTAAACTCCCCCCCTTTTAATATCTGAGAAAATAATTTTTTAAGAATACTGGTTTATTTCCTCAGAAATATAGTTTCTACAGTCAACCTGGCCTGTAAATTGGATCTGAAGAAAATAGCTTTGCATGCAAAAAATGCAGAATATAACCCCAAGGTAAGACTTTGTGTCATTCCTTTTAACAATTAGCTTCTCCTGAAATTTACTTCTCTTTACAGAATCATTAATTTCTTTAATTAATTAATTAATTAACCATTAATTACAGATATTAATTTCTTGGCATCTTTTTCAAGAAAAGTAAGAAGGCTTAAGCAACCCAACGAATTCTTTTTAAAATGGTCTCATCCTGTTTTCAATCTGTGATAGCTGAGTCCACAGAGAGTTGCACTGTTAATCTAAAAGTGGTGGCTGTCTGGCAGTTTGAGTCCACCAGTGGCTCTGTAGGAGAAAGATGGACAATCTCCTTCTACGTGATTTACGGCCTTGAAAACCCTCTGGAGGCTCAGCTAGGAGCAGGTTCCTACTGGAAGGCAATTAGAGAAGGAGGGGTTTTTGAAAAGGAAACATTCACTATGTGAAATAAAGCAGTGACTTAGCTGTTTATAAGGGTTATCTTTCCTTTGTCCTTCAAATTCTTTTTTCAGGATGACTGTTTAGACACTAATTTCTTTAAAATGATAACACTTTCTGTGAAATTTGTCTAAATGTTGTACTATCTTACCTTTCTACTTGTGTGTATTTCCATTTATAGATTTTTTTTTCCCATTTAAGAACGCCAAAACCTATAAAGTTCAAACTTCCACTTAAGAGTATAAGAATAAAACCTTCCCATAACAGCTTAATAGAATCTATTTTTCCTGGGTCCTGCTAAGGCCAGATATCACATTTTCAATTACATGTCTACCTAGGGAAAGTGGGCTTGTTAATTTGATCAAAATTTAAGAATTTACCAGGCATTGTTAACATTAGTTAGGGTTGACTAGATGGCAACTGTTCTTAGTTTTGTACACAGGACTGACCTCATGATTATATTCCTATCTCACTTTCTTGGGTAGTTGAAAATAAATGGACTTCTTATCAAAGTCTATATATTTTCAACCAACCAAGATGGGAGAATGATGGACAGTCACCTTTTGTTAGGTTCCATTGAATGGGAACCAACTCCTAGCTGACCCTCCACTGGGCTTCCAGAGGCTGTAAATTTCACAGGGGGAGACTGACAATCTTTCTTCCTTGGATCAGCTAGTGGATTCAAACCACTTGCTTTTGAGTTGGCAGCGCAACTCCGTACCACTAAACCAGAAGAGATCCTTAATTAAAATTACAGCGTTAGAAACCTGACAGGTGATCACTACAAGTTGGAACCTATAGGAAAACAGCGAGTGGACCAGATGAAAAGGCACACTTTAACAGGAATCTGGGAGATGCGCCAACATCAACTGTTGATGGGTTTAGTTAAGCATCAATCCATATTGAAGACTTTACAGTCCTTAACCTTCTGCAGTAAGAGTTTCAGGTCTTCCTCAGTTTCAGCAAGCAAGGTTATGTCATCTGCATAACATAGCTTGTCCATGAGTCTTCCTCCAATCTTGATGCCACATTCCTCCTCATAAAACCCAACTTCCTGAATGATCTGTTATACATATAGATTGAAAAGATATTAAAGACAAGACGCATCCTTGATGCATGCCCTTCCTGAATTTGAGCCATATAGTGTTTCCTTGCTCTGTTAAGCACAATCAAGTTCTGGGATTCCCATTCTCCTCAAGGTTCACCACAGCTTGTTGTGATCCTCCACACAGTCAGATGCCTTTACATAGTCAATGAAACACAGATATCCCTTTGGTACTCTCTGTGTTCTGCCAAGATCCATCTGACATTGGCGATAATGTCTCTAGACATTATCTCTTCTAAAACCAGCTTGTATTTCTGGTAGTTCTCTGCGGATGCACTATTCTAGTCATTTTTGGATAATCTTCAGCAGGATTTTGCATATGTGTGATATTAGTGATATTATTTGATAATTTCCACACTGTCAGGTCACCTTTTTTTGGAATAGAAATAAATAAGAATCTCTTCCAGTCAGTTGGCCAGGTGATTGTAGCCTTGAAAACACCGTGGAGCAGTACTACTCTGTTCCTTGGGGTTTCTGTGAATAAAAAGTTTACTCCATAGCTTCTAAAAACAACTTGATTTTACTGTAAAGTGGCACTGTCTGCTCAATGTAGATGTTACTTGATTTTACCCAAATAATACTTTCTTTTTAACAGTATAAACCAGATGCAACTGAGCAATCAGCATTTTAAGCACCTTTTATTCTCCGTCATCTTCTGTATTCTTCTAGTTTAAAGACCCTCATTGAGACAGACTCAATGAGCAACTGCCACAGTGGGCACCATAGAAATTGAATGTGAGGACAGAACAGAATGGACAGTGTTTTGCCCTGTTGTACACTGACTTGCTTTGAGTTAGAGATTTTTTTTTAATTTTTTAAAATATTTGTGTGTACTGTCAAATCAGATCTGACTGGTACAGGAGGAGATTGTCCCTCCTTCTCCAGCAGAGCATCTGGTGGATTCGAACCACTCACCTCTGGCCTTTTTTTAATTTTATTTTAATGAAAGTTTACAGAGACTGATTTTCCATTCATTCATTGTTGCACTTTTTTCCCCGCCCACCTCTTACACTCTTCTCTTTGAAAAATAAAAGAAAAATGCTTTCATTGTTATGCAATCACTCCCCTCAAGTCCACACCACTATGCAGCCCTCATTCTGGACTGCTGTCATGACAATAATACCTAATCATATATCCCTTTTAAACAGTTCTCTCCCTCATCTGTTTCAATGAAGTATACATCATTTATTCCCTCTTTGAGTTAGAGATCTTAACATAAGTTATGTCCAAACTTGTACTTGATAGCCAAAATAATTATGATTTGGTACTTTATGAAATTAATAAAATGAATACTAAGTGAGAGTATTATTTAGTAAACATCTGGAAAATATTAATAAAAATATTGCTCATCTTTGTAGTGCTAACTCAGAATTATTTTAATCTGTTTATACTTTAAGACCTAACTTGGCAGTCCAGGCTTGAAACCATCTATGATCCTGTGAATGAACCCCAACCTTTGAACTTATGTTGCTGCTGTTGTATGACAACTCATAATGACCCTATGAAATGCAGATCTGAACCTTGCCCTAACGTGAGCCAACCTAACCATCTTCAACGTGCCTGGCCCATTGCCACAGTCACTGTGTCAGTCCATCTGACTGACACAGTGATGGTCATCGTCTTTTGCACTGACACTCTGCCTTTCCAAGCATGACTCTTATCTCTAAGGACTGACAACATGCCACAAGTATGTGAGATGGAGTTTCACCATCTTTGCTTCCAAGGAGCACCCTGATTTCACTTTCTCCAGGATAGACATGTCAGTTTCAACTCGACGGCACATAACAAAATAGACCTGTAGTTCCACATAATACTGAACTCCATTATTATTTTTTTTTAACTTAATGAGGGAAGATGAGAGAAGAGTGTGGCTGTTTAAGACCAGTAGGGGGAGCAAGTTACCTAATGACAAGCCCATGTGTTAGGCAGTGACGCTAACCTTTCACATACATCAGAATCTTAGGGCAGGTTTCCTGGTCTAAAGACCACAATTTGAGAGCTACTAAGATAGACACAAGCTTAAGCTGCGTTTAAAAGAGGCCGTGGAACAGGGTTATCATTGCTTATGCCAGATGGATCTTGGCTGAAAGCAGAGAATACCAGAAGAATATCTATTTGTGCTTTATTGACTGTACAAAGGTATTTGTCTATCTGGATCATAATAAACTATGGCTAACATTGAGGTGATTGGGAATCCTGGAACACGTACTTACAGCAAACTCTATACTTTGACTGTTGTCCAAAAAGAGCAAGGTACATGGTTTAAATGAGGAAAAATGTGTTAGGGTTATATCTTTTCTCCATACTTATTCAATCCATAATGCTGAGCAAATCATTCAGGAAACTGGACTCTAGGAAGAACATCAGGATCAGAGGAAGACTCCTCAAATAACCTATACTATGCAGATGACACATCCTTGCTTCCTGAACGCAAGGAGTGCTTGAAGAGTTTGCTCAAGATCAAAGACTTCACACCTTGCAATATGGATTGCATGTCAACATGAAGGCAAAAATCCTCCTGACTGGACTCATAAGCAGCATCATTACATGGAGAGAAGTTTGAAATTGTTAACAATTCCATCTTTCATCCACAATCCACATCAGTTAAGGTCACTGTCAGAGACATACCAAATTACTAAGGAGCAGTGGTGTTCAGTTTGAAAACTAAGGTGTGTCTGATTCATGCCATGATGTTTTCAATCATTTCCTATGCATTTGAAAGCTGGACAGTTAATAATAAGGATCACAGAAGAAGAACTGATACACAGAGTTGTGGCATTGGAGAATACTGACTATCCCAAAAGAACATAGAGATATGTCTTGGAAAAAGTACAGCCAGAGTGGTCCTTTGAGACAAGGAAGATTAAGCTTCATCTCACATACTTTGTGCATATTTCTAGGAGAGGCTATTCCTTGGAAAGGAACATCATGCTTAGAAATATGTAGAGTCAGTGAAAAAGAGGAAGACCCACAAAGAAGTAGACCAACACAGCGACTGCAGGAATAGAGTCAAGTGTGTCAGAAGTGCTGAGAATCACACAGGCTAGGACAAGGTTCAGATCTGTGGTTTCCAGGGTTGCTAAGTCCTACTCAAATGGATGGCACCTAATAACAATGGTAGATTATGCTTGATGAGATGGATTGACACAGTGACTGTAGCAATGGCTCAAGCCTATCGGTGATTATGAAGGACAGTGCAGGATAGGCGAGAGTTCAGATCTGTTGTCCACAGGGTCCTATGAGGAGTAATCAACTTGATGGCACCCAACAACACAAGTTGACTAGAATTGCATAGCTCTGTTTTGTTTTCATCCTCAACATGCCTGACTATAGCTATAGTCTTGCCTACATTTTCCTACATTGCTTTCTGGTACATTTTAAAGTCGTGGATACTCTGTAACATACTTTCTGTTTTTATCTTTATATTTGATGAGAATCTTTGTTTTCTTGATGTTGCATTTCAATCCATATAGAAGGCTGTAGTCCTTGACCTCCTGCAGCAAGCGTTTCAGGTTCTCCTCAGTTTCAGCAAGCAGGGTTGTGTCATCTGCATAACGCAGGTTGTTGATGACTCTTTCACCAATCCTGATGCCACATTCCTCCTCGTACAGCCCAGCATCTCAGATGGTCTGTTCTGCATACAGATTGAAAGGTATGGAGACAGAATACATCCCTGACAGACCCCCTTCTTGATTTTGAGCCATCCAGTGTCTCCTTGCTCTGTTCTGACGACTGCCTCTTGGTCTAAGTATAGGTTTTACATTAGCACAATCAAGTGTTCTGGGATTCCCATTCCTCTCAGAGCCAGCCATAGCTTGTTGTGATCCACACAGTCAAAAGCCTTTGCATAGTCAATGAAGCACAGATACATATTCTTCTAATATTCTTTGCTTTCTGCCAAGATCCATCTAACATTAGCTATAATATCCCTAGTACCACGACCTCTTCGAAATCCAGACTGGACATCTGGCAGTTCTCCGTTGACATATTGTTCCAAACATTTTTGGATAATTTTCAGCAGAATCTTGCTTGCATGTGATATTAATTATATTGTTCGATAATTTCCACACTCTGTTGGGTCATCTTTCTTTGGAATGGGAACAAATTCAATCTTTTCCAGTCAGTCGGCCAGCTGGCTGTTCTCCAGATTTCTTGACACAACTTAGCAGCATCAGTATGGATGGTGAAGAGATTGAGATAGTTAACAGTTTCAGTTTGCTTGGCTCCACAATCAACGCTCTTGGTAACAGCAGCCAGGAAATCAAGAGACGAATTGCATTGGGGAAAGTCAGCTGTGAGGGACCTCTCAAGAGTACTGAAGAGCAACGATGTCGGGCTGGAGACTAAGGTGCACCTGATCCAGGCTATAGTCTTCGCAATTACATGCTATGCATCAGAAAGTTGGACCATGAATAGGGTTGATAGAAAGAGAATTGAGACCTTTGAGTTGTGGTGCTGGAAAAGAGTGCTGAATATACCATGGATTGCTAGGAGAACAAACAGGCTTGTCCTGGAGAAGGTGAAGCTGGAATGCTCCTTGGAATCAAGGATTCTGAAGCTTCATCTGACATACTTTGGGCATGTTGCAAGGAGGGACTGGTCCTTGGAGAGGGACATCATGTTTGGCAGAGTGGAAGGGCAGCGAAGGAGAGGAAGACCTTCGATGAGATGGATCGATTCTGTGAGTGGAGCGGTGGGAATAAGGGTGTTTGAGATGGCTAGGTTGGCACAGGATAGAACAGCATTTAGAGCTCTTGTACATAGGGTCTCTATGAGTCGCAAACGACTCGATGGCACATAACATATTTAAAAGGAAACATTAAATATTTCAATGTGAAAAGTACATATGCTGGTTGTTTGTAACTTTAAATCTTTTTTTTTATTTTATTATTTTTATGTGAGTGTACCGTCAAATCAGATCTGACTGGTACAGGAGGAGATTGTCCCTCCTTCCCCGGCAGAGCATCTGGTGGATTCGAACCGTGCGCCTCTGGGATTGTAGTTGCAGCTCCTTGCCACTAGGCCACCAGAGCTCCCCTATAACTTTAAATGTTAATTTTACTTTTTCCTGAGGAATTTTGGAAATGGCACCAACTGGGAATTACAGTGGACTCGGTTCTGTCCTGTCAGAAGGATAAATGATAGCTTAAACTCTCCGCCTTAGGGCTGGAACATGACAGAAATTTAGATTATTTTTTTTTCTGTTGCTATTATTTATTCTTGACAGTTTTGATTGCCTAGTGGTAAGGAGCTGCACTGCCATCCTGAAATCACAGGGTTCAAATTCATCAGGTGCTCCCCTTGAGAAAAATGGGGACTCTCCTCCTGCACAGTTTACTGCCTCTGAAAGCCCATGGGAGGGTCAGTTGTGGATCTGTTCTGACCCAACAGTATATAACAACGTAATACAACATTATTATTATTCTTACTGGTTTTCTGTTTTAGCGTCAGTCATTTTTTGTAGTGTTGCTATAGAGATTGGCACAGATATGACTTCATTTTGCCAGCCATTCTCATCTTATTTAAGAGTCTTTCCTATCCAATCCAGCTTTTTAATGGAGAGAGTATTAACATCCAACAGAGGCTTACTCACTCTCTGGCTCTCTTTGTGTAGAGGTTTGCTGCTGTTATAATGAGGATCCGAGAGCCCAGAACGACAGCGCTCATCTTTAGCTCTGGGAAAATGGTCTGCACAGGAGCCAAAAGGTAAAAGGACTACCCTTCGTCCCTACTGAAAACTCAGTATGTAGTTTAAAAAATAGGTTCTAAAATACACAATAAGAGGAACATCACTGCTTTGGTGAACTGTTCATTCATGAATAACAAAATATGCTTTACAAATACTTGGTGACATAATACTGATTTCTATCCCACACTTTACAATCTCCCTTGTTAAGCTGAATTCTATTACTTTCTGCATTAGGTTTTTTGTTAATACCATGTGTTTTCAGTAATAGAAGATATCCTGAAATCTAAAGAATAATTTTTGGGGGAGTAATATGGATTTTTTTTTTTTTTAATTTAATTGGATTTTGATAGTTATGTGGGACAAATATGGCCCAAGCAAACTCTGGTGGTATGACCAGTGGGGGTGAGGCCTTTGAAGTTTATGCAGGTCTACAGATTCCCACCAGGTGGCAGCATGTACAACAGCTGGGATAAAGTCTTCCCAAGAAACCTGAGACTGAGCAATACATGCACCATGGGTTGCAAAAAGGGTAAGCAGGCTGTGCACCAGTTTTTAAGATGCCCCAGTAAGAGAAAAGGAATTTTGTATTTTCCTTATTCCAGGTAAATGATAAGACTTTCTAAGGAGGTGGACAGTTCTTGACCATTAGTTGGAGCTTTAGCTCAGGCTGCTTCGTTTAGAAGCTGTCTTGCATCTTAGGCAGAGAATTACCCATGCTAGTGGGGATTCTCTCACCATAAGCTGTAGTGAGAGAAATGCTCTTCCTGTGTTAAGAAATGAGTCGCTAACTAATTGTCTTTCTGGAAGCTTGTGCCGCTTTCTTCTTCCTCTAGGGAAGTACTCTGTGTTCATTTTCTCCTATGAACAATGAGCATGAATATTCTTTTTTACTGACTAGTAAAAAACATCTTATTTGACACTGCTTTATTTACTAATGAGACTAGATAACTTTTCATCAGTATATAAACTGCCTGTCTTTACTTAATTCTCTACTTGTCTTTTATTAATATCATTTTTAATTTAAGTCTTTATATAACTTTATACTGTAAACATTTTCTCCATGGTGTTTTACATTTTTTAAAAACTAAAATATTTTTTGCATAGTGAGATATATAAAATATTTTTTATGGTTTATATGCTTAGTATAATGCACAATGTTAACCCTTATATACTTTTCTGACCTTTTTCAAGTCATTTGTATTTGAGAAAGGATACTTGATATTTCAATTAATGTAGTGATTTCCCTAGATGATGAAAATATTTATCTGCTAGTTTAATGTAAAATTAGTAGTCACATGTTGCTATTGAGGAATTGAAATGTAGCCAGTGCACCTGAGGGACTGCAAGTTGAATTTAATTTCCATTTATACAAGCATATGGGACTTACGAATACCACATTAAGCAAAGCAGATCTAGAATTTTATTTCATGTAAGGTATAAGGTAGAGACCTTGTTCTAAAATGGTCAGTCCACGTGCCAATGTATTTGTTGGAGAATCCCTTTTTAGCCCACTTTTCATGCCTATTTTAAGATGATAAAGCTCTTTACATGAATCTGAGTACACGGAAAGTCTTGGACTTTCTCCTCTGTTAGTCTAGGTATTTGTTGACCTAGAAACGAAGATTTCTAGGGCTGTCTTTAACAGGCAAAAATGTCTATAAGACTGCTTATTGTCACATAATTTTTCCTAATAATTAGTAACACTAACATTAGGGCTTTCATTATCATATGATAAAATTGTATTGAGACATTAACACACACATATACATATATATATCTATGTATATATGTGTGTGTGTGTGTGTGTATATATACACACACACCCCTACTGGAGAGTCATCAATGAGTCAGTTACGACTTGACAATAATTGGTTTGAGAGGATAAGGTCACACTTAACAGATGTTACAAGCATTATTGATGAGATGTCAAGGTTCTTAACCTATTTTCTATCTGTAATTTTTTTTAATTAGTATTGGTGCCAATAGAAATTTCTGTGTGATACTGTCTATTGTACAATAAAAGCATATTTAAAGGTCAACTTATAGTAAGCCTTTGAACAACAGACCTTAATATTTCTCTATTCTGCACCATTTCACAATCTGCATCAAACGTAAGTCCATTGTATTCACTCGTTGAAGGCTCTGCTCCTCTACCTTTCCAAAAAGTATGTCTTTTTTCAAAGTCTGGCCCCTCCTGACAACATTCCCGAAGTATGTGAGATGAAGTTTGACCACCCTTGCCTCTAAGGAGCAATGCAAATAGTTACATTTCCCCAAAGACAGGCTTGTTTATTCTTCTGGAAGTCCATGTTATATCCAGTACTCTCCCAACATCATAATTACAGTCAGTATAGAGACCAAGGTACACGTGACTCACGCCATGATTTTTGCAATTACTTGTTATACATCAGAGAGCTACACAACAATGACTAAGAATGATGAAAGTATTGATGCCTTTGAGATGTGGAGCTGGAGAAGTTGTTGTTTGTTGCTAGGTGCTGTTGAGTTGATCACGACTCATAGTAACCCTATGAACAAAAGATCTGAGTCCTATTCTATCCTGCACTTTCCCCACACTTCCTAATACACAAGAGCCCATTGCATCAGTCATCATGTCATTCCACCTGGTTGAGGGTCTTCCTCTCTTTCACCAACCCTCCACCTTTCCCAGCATCATGTCCCTCTCCAAGAAAGAGCAAAGTATGTGAGTCAAAGCCTCATCATTCTTGCCTCCAAAGAGCACTCTGTATGCACCCTCTCCAAGACATATCTGGATCTCTTTGGTCTTTTTTACTCGCTATAAAACCTCTCTTATACCTTATAAAATTGAAATGAAATATAATTCTAGATCTGATCTGCTCTATATGGTATCCATTAGTTTCATGTGCCTATGGTGGGATGCTGTTACGTGCCATCAAATCGCCTGTGACTCAGAGCGACCCTATGTACAATAGCTCTGAAGCCTGCCCTGTCCTGAGCCACTGAATCCAACACACTTATGCCCATTAACTCAGCTATTGTGACAGTCCATCTCATCAAGATTCTTCCTTTCCTGCGCTGTCCTTCCATGCTTCCACATATGTCCTTCTACAGGCATTGCTCTCTCCCCCCACCTCCCTAGACACATGTCTAAAGTATGGAGTTTCAAAATCCTAGCCTCCAAGGAGAAACTTGTTTTTACTTTCTGCAAGACAGAGCTATTTATTCTCTTGGTAGTCCATGATATATTCAATACTCTCCACTGGACCGATAGGCTGCATCATGATGGATGGAGAGGTGATTGAAACTGTCAATAGTTTCATCTTGCTCCTTTCCTGATTTTGAACAATGCAATGTTTCCTGTTCTGTTCTGAGGACTGCTTCCAGGTCCAAGTGTAGGTTTCCCATGAACACAATCAAGAGATTCTCATTTTTCTCAAGGTTAGCCACAATTTGTTGTGATACACAGTCAAATGCATAGTCAATGCATAGACAGTCCTCTGGTACTCTTTGCTTTTGGCCAAGATCCATCTGACAGACTGGTGATAATGATTCTAGTGCCACAGCTTTTTCTAGACTTAGCTTGTATTTCTGGTAGTTCTTTGTCAATGTACTATTCCAACCATTTTTGGATAATCATCAGAAGGATTTTGCTTGCATGTGATATTAGTGATATTATTTGATCATTTCTACACTCTGTTGGGTCACCTTTTTCTGGAATAGGAATAAATATGGATCTCTTCCAGTCAGCTGACCAGGTAGTTGTCCTCCAGATTTCTTGTACAACAGATTTCTTGATACAACTCAGTGAGCACATCCAGGGCAACATCTGTTTGTTGAGATATGTCAAGTGGTATTCCATCAGTTCTTGGAGCCTTGTTTGTTGCCATTTCCTTCAGAGCAGCTTTAGTTTCCTCCTTCAATCACCATTGCCTCTTGATTATTTGTTGAGTCAATACATACTCTTTTCTGAGCCAACTTAAAGAAGCTCAGGTTCTCCTCCATTTCCTTCTTTTAATTATTCATTTTTATTGAGTATAAAAAGGCATTTGACTTTATGGATCATAAAAACCTATGGCTAACATGGAGAAGAATGGGAATCCCAGAACACTTAATTATGCTCATACAAAACCTATGCCTAGACCAAGAAACCCTTGTCCAAAGAGAGCAAGGGAACACTGCAAGGTTTAAAATCAGGAAAGATGTGCATCAGGATTGTATCCTTTCTCCATACCGATTAAATCTGTTTACTGAGAAAATAATTTGAGAAGCTGAACTGTATGAAGAGGAATGTGGCATCAAGGTTATACTGATAACACAACTTCACTTGCTGACAATAAGGAGTACTTGAAGTACTTGCTGCAGAAAATCAAAGGCTACAGACTTCAATAAGGACTGCATCTCCACATCGAGATAAAAACTCCTCACCACTGGACAGATAAGCAACACCATGATACAGAAAAGACTGAAATTGTCAACAGTTTTCTCTTATTTGGATACACAACCAACACCCTTTGTACCAGTAGTCAGGAAGTCAGGAATTGTATTACATTAGGCAAATCTACTCTCAGGAACCCCTTCAAATAAGAAGCAATTATGTCAGTTTGAAGACTAAGGTGTTCCTGATTCAAGTGATAGTCTTTTCAATCAATTGCGATGCATCTGAGAACTGGACAATGAAGGAGTGATAACTTTGAGTTACAGTATTGGATAGGAGTATTGAATATCCAAAAGAACAGATACGTTTTAGAATAAGTGCAGCCAGAGCGCTCCCCGGAAGCAAGGATGGTGAAGCTTTGTATCACATACTTTGGACATGTTGCTGTAAGACGCTAGTCTTTGGAAATGGCCATCACAGTTGGAAAGGTGGAGCGTTGATGAAAGAGAGGCAGTCTCTCAACAAGAGGAATCGACACAGTGACTGCACTAATAGGCTCAAGTGGGTTAAAGATAGGATGGCACAGGACAGGGTTTGCGTCTGTTCATGAGTCTATTCAGCTTGATGGCATATAACAACAACATGTGAATAGCAAGCACTTGTAAGCCAGGTGGATAGTTCTGAAACTTTAGCAAGCATTATAGTCTCCTGGAGGACTTTTAAAAACAGAAGATGACTGGGCCCCCATGTTTCTGCACATCTGAGGTAGGGCTGGAGATTCTGCATCTCTAACAAGTTCCCTAGAGCTACTGGTGGTCTGAGGTACCCTTTGAGAACGAGCAAAATAGTTCATTTTATTTAAAACAAGGGTTTTTTTAAATCTTTTATGTGAAAAGTAAGACTAAATCTGGCCATGGCTCAGTTCAATAACTGTTCCTGTGCCTGACTTATAATAAAGCAAAAAGCTAAATTTGCTGCTGATACGTCACCTTCAACTACTAGTGGCTCTTCTTAGGCTATAAATCTTTATGGGAGGAAAACACCCATCTGTATCTCTTGAAGCGGCTGGTGGATTAAAACCACCGACCTTTGGGTGGGCAGCACAACACATAATGCATTATGCCACAAGAGCTCCTTTGTACCTTTTACTAGAGGCTAGGAAACTCCTATGGGGCAGGTCTGCCCTATCCTATAGGGTCACTAGGAGCCTGAATGAACTCATGATCACCAAAACAACTACAGGGCAAAATGACAAAGTAGATATTTCCTCTCATGAAGTCTAAACTCTAAAATTCTACATTGAAAGATAAACACAGTGCCAATAGTAAAAGTATAATAAGTATATGAATATAGTACATGGGACCTAGTGATTAAGACATGTTTGAATTTATTTGTTCCTTCCCAAGTGAAGAGCAGTCTCGGCTTGCAGCTAGAAAATATGCTCGAGTGGTACAGAAGCTTGGATTCCCCGCCAGATTCCTCGATTTCAAAATTCAGAACATGGTTGGAAGCTGTGATGTGCGGTTTCCCATCAGCCTGGAAGGTTTGCTGCTTACCCACCAGCAATTCAGTAGGTATGATGGTTATTTACCTTAACTTTGAATTTACCAAAATAGTGAATTATTTTAGGAGCCACTTATACATCAAGAAGCTCTGGAAGTTTGGTGGTAAGGAGTCATGCTGTCAACCCAAAGGCATTCATTCAGTTCAAGTCTACCAGCTGTTTTGTAGAAGAAAGATGGACAGTCTTGTCCCAGGTCTCTGAAAACCCACTGGAGGGTCAGCTCTGAGTCAATTTTCACTTGACACACATAACAGCAACATACATCTTTCAGAGAAAATGTGATATTTTTTTATTATTATTTTTTATTTTTTTTTACAGAGGTTTTGGATTTCCATTCATTCATTGCCGCAATTTTCTCCCTTCCCACCCCTCCCCACCAGCTCGCTTCCCCCTCCGAAGAGAGAAAAAAAAATTCCTTCATTAGTACACAATTCCCACGTCCCTTCCCCCCACCCCCCACCCCAAGTACACTTCTCTATGCAACCTTAATTCTGGATTCCTGTGCTAACCATAATACTCAATCATATATCACTTCTAATCTGTTCTTTCTCTCATCTGTTTCAATACAATATACATAATTTATCCAGTTTTTTCTGTCATACCCCCACCCTGATGTCAGACCCATTCTACAACAGTGGCACCATGCAGTATTTGTCCCTTTGTGACTGAGATATTTCACTCAGCATAATGTCCTCCAGGGTCACCCACTTTGAATAATATTGCATGAGTTCCTTGTTTTTCAATGCTGCGTAGTATTCTATTGTGTGGATATACCACAGCTTCTCTATCCATTTGTTTGTTGGTGGGCCCTTAGGCTGCTTCCAACTCTTTGCTATTGTAAACAAAGCTGCAATAAACATGGGTGTGCATATATCTGCTTGGAGATTATTTTTTAAAAAACCAACCAACCAACCAAAAACGGTATGGCAGATACCCTCACTTCCTAATGTTGCCTAATTAATTCTCAGAATCTTGTTGTCTTTAAAACAATTGAAATTTATTCTTTTACAGTTCTTCAGGCTCTTTCTAAATACACATTGCTTTGAGTTGGGCCAAGTCATGGTTGTCTCTCCATTGAGTTTCCAAGGCTCTAACTTGTACAGAATGAGATTGTTCATCTTCCTCCTATGGAGCCTTTGGTGGATATGAAATTTCAGAGAGCTCCTAGGAAAGGCTAGAAGTTAAAAAAAAATAATAAATTTAAATTACGCTGTTGGCTGGGCCATGTCTTATCTGAAGGCTCTGGGGAATAATCTATTCAAGAATTTTAGTTTCTAGTCCTGCCAGCAACCCATGGCATTCCTCAGCTAGTAGACACACCATTCCTGTCTTCACTTCCTTTGTCACACAGCGGTTTCTCTGTGTGTCTCAGAAGGGCATTAATAATACAGGATTAAAATCCACTTTAATTCAGTCTGATGCCATTTAAATTTGATTATATCTGCAAAAACCTCATTTTGAAATACGATCACAATCACAGGGGTTAGAACTTTAATAATATATATTAGATATTAGAGATTAGAGATTAGATTAGATATATAATTTGTCTAGAAGACACAATATAAGCCACAACATGAGACAAAATGCCATGAGCTGCATGTGTTACAGTACCCTAAGTTCTGTGTGTGCACTACATTCTGTGTTCTTTTCGGGCCGTCCTAGATGGGCACTTCCTCCTGTGTTTCCCTGCATTTCTTTTGTACCAACAATGTTTTCTTTGAAGGTCCTTCCTGCAGGTTTTCAGAGGCTCTAACCCCTATGGGAGGAGATTGGCCATGTGGAGTTCCAGGGGATCACCTGGTGGATAACTGTTCTGTGTGCTGTCGAGTCAGAACCAACTCACAGCTGACCCTCCAGCTCATTTTCAGGGACAGTACATTGCATGGATAGAGACTGTCCATCTTAGTGGAGTTGAACTATGTGCCTGTGGGTTTACAGTCTAGTTCTTTATCTCTAGGCCACCAGAGCTCACTACTGGGTGATAATAACAAGTAATATAACCATTGTCTTTGATAAATAGCATTTTGTCTGTCTTAGTTTTCTAGTGCTGGTAAAAGATACCACAGTGAATGGTTTTAATGACCAGGTGTATTCTCTAAATGTTTAGAAAGCTGGAAGTCCAAATTCAGGGTGATGACTCTAGGGGAAGGCTTTCTGTAGGCTGCATACTATCCGCATTCCTTGAAGATTTCTAAGTCTTGGTCTTTCTCTATGTCAAGAAAGTGTGTAACACAGAGATCTTGGTCCAAAGGTCATGTTCCACTTCTGGTCTTCTTTCTTGGTGGTGCTGAAGTCTCCTCTCTGTTCTCTTGTCTCTCTTGTGAACTAAAGATGTTATATGGATCTTAAGATTTAGGGTTGTGATAGAATCAGTTACATTCCACCCTTAATCCTTTTACAACTGCTTAGCTTATCTGATCATAGTGAATTATTTCATAACTTGTACATTATATAGTTATATAAATGTGCTTTCATCATCACTTCATTGCAATCAAGTCAGAACCAGCTGATAGTTGATCCTTCTAGGGGAGTTTTCACAGACCATAAATTGCATGGGAAGAGACTGCTCATCTTTTTCCCTCAGAATCCCCAGTAGGGTCTCCTATGGACCATGCAAGAGCTCCCTAAGTATATTTTAGGGGACACAATTCAATCCATAACATTGTCCAAAAGGAAATATATAAACAAACCAATTATACAAATATAATAACTATGAGGTAGAGATCAACTGACAGGAAGAGATCCATATTTATTCCTATTCCTAAAAAAGTTGATCCAACAGTGTGCAAATTATTGAATAGTATCACATGCAAGCAAAATCCTGCTAAAGATCATCCAGAAATGACTGTAACAGTACATTGACAGAGAACTACCAGAAATACAAGATGGGTTGTATAAAACCATTACTGAAGATCCAAGCATGGCAGAGGAGGGTAGAAGTAGATGAGTGAGGAGGTGCTGGGGGGTGGGGTGGAATTAACCATGGGGTCGTACAATTTGATCAGGGGTTTAGAGAAATGGGAAGGATCTGGTATGAAAACCATGTACTTGAGTTTTGTAAATAAACTAGTATTTTAAAAAAATAAATACAAGGTGAATTTAGAAGGGGCTGTCACACTGGGGACACCATCGCCAATGTCAGAGGGATCTTGGCTGAAAGCACAGTCTACCAGAGGAATGTGTTTCATTTACCATACAAAGGCATTTCACTGTGTGGATCACAACAAATTGTGGCTAACTTTGAGAAGAATGGGAATCCCAGAATACCTGATTGTGCTCGTGGGAAGCTTATACTTGGATCAGGAAGCAGTTCTCAGAACAGAGGAAGGAAACATTGCAGGGTTCAAAATCAGGGAAAGGGTTAGAGGTGCATCTTGTCTCCTTAACTTTTCAATCAATATGCAGAATAGATCATTCAGAAGACTGGACTTTATGAGGAAGAATGTGGCATAAGGACTGGAGGAAGACTCATCAACAGCTTGCATTATGCAGATGACACAACTTTACTTGCTGAAACTAAGGAAGGCCTGAAGCATTTACTGTAGAAAGTCACGGATTGTTGCTCAACATCAAGAAAACAATGACTCTCATTACTCGGCCAATTGGCAACACCTTTAGAAATGGAGAGGAGATTGAGGTTAGCAATTTCTGCTTGCTCAGGTCCACAATCAATACTCTTGCCACCAGCAGTCAGGAAATACAAATATAAATTGCATTAGGAAAATTTGCTGTCAAGGACCTCTCCAGAGTGCTGAAGAGCAATGATATAATGTCAGTCTAGAGACTAAAATGCACCTGTTTCAGGCCAGGGTCTTTGAAATTACTTGGTATGCATCAGAGAGCTGGACAATGACCAAAGATGATGGGAGAACTGATGCCTTTGAGCTGTGGTGCTGGAGAAGAGTATTGAACATGGACTGCCAAGAAAACAAACAGTTCTGTCCTGGAGAAAATGAAACCAAGCTGCTCCTTGGAGGCAAGGATTTTGAGGCTCCATCTCCCATACTTAGGGCGTGTTACCAGGATGGACAAGTTCTTGGTAAAGGACATCATGCTTGGAAAGGTGGAGGGACAGAGCAAGATAGAACAGTAACTAGGATAATGAGGGTAGATGTGTCAGAGACAGAGAGATTGGCTCAGGAAGGAACAGCGTTCAGAGCTATTGTTCATAGGGTCGCTATGAGTAATAGTTGACTCGATGGCACATAACAGCAACAACATCATGAGCTAGAGGAGCTCTGATGGCTTACTAGCAAGGAGTTATGGTTACTAGCAAGGCACATGGTTCAAATCCACCAGCTCAAGGACCAGAAATGCGGTCCTCCTGTGCAATTACTGCCTCTGAAACCCTGCTGGAGGGTCAGCTGTGAGTCAGTTTCAACTCGATGGTGCACAATAACAAAAACCTGAGAGAGCATATTTAGCACAATTGAAGCAAACTGGAGGAAAAGGAAGACTTGAAAATATAAGTGACTTAGAAGCAGATATTTGAGAAATAGTTGAAAGTTGGATTGATCAGAGCTTGGCAATTCTGTTATCCTGAGCTCTTATAAAATGGTTTCCATCCATAATTGAAACAGATATTTCCTGCCTCAATTTCTTTTTTGAAATGAAGTAGAAAATGAAGTAAATTTCTTATCAGGAATTCTTCATTATATTACTTTAAGACAAGACAGACCAACTTTTAAATACAAAGGCCCACCCACCAGATCCTGTTTACCTACACAAAAGGCTTCCCACCCAAGCGGATTGAAAAGAAGATCAAATATAGTTGATCAGCTTACACTTGATTGCTAACACGATTAGTTTACCCCCAGCTTTCAAGTAAATCACAAGTACCCACCAGGATCCAACTAGTGAGGACTTGAAGCACTTGTTGCAGAAGATTAAGGAATACAGCCTTCAGTATGAATTGCACCTCAATATTAAGAAAACAAAGATTCTTACCACTGGACCAATAGGCAGTATCAAGATGGATAGAGAGGAGATTGAAAATGTCAACAGCTTCATTCTGCTTGGATCCACAATTAACACCTTTGGTAAGAGCAGTCAGGAAATAATGAGATGCATTATGGGAAAATCTGCAGTTAGGGACCTTTCCAAATTATTGAAGAGTTGTGATGTCAGTTTGAGGACTAAGGTGCATCTGATTCAGGCCATAGTCTTTCTGATTACTAGCTGTGCATCTGAGACCTGGACCATGAATAAGGATGATAGAAAAATAATTGATACCTTTGAGCTGTGGTGTTGGAGAAGAGCACTGAATATCCATGGACAGCCAAAAGAATGAACAGATAGGTCTTGGAGATGGTGCAGCCAGAGTGCTCTTTGAAGGCAAGAATGATGAGGCTTTACATACTTTGGCCATGTTGCTAGGAGGTTCTAGTCCTTGGAGAAGGACATGATGTTGGGAAGGGTGGAGGGTTAGCAAAGGAGAGGAAGACCCTCAACCAGGTGGATTGACACAGTGACTACTGCGATGGGCTCTTGTGTGTCAGGGAGTGTGAGGATCTTTTCTTCATTGGTCTCTGTGAGTCATGCTTGACTCAACGGCACCTAACAACAACAAGCAAAATGAAGTTCACTATCTATCTATACAAGCCCATGCCTGCTTCCTTGCCTTCTGACTGTGATCGGATTCAGGTGGAAGATAAATCAAGTTTCCTCTTGGTCTGAGCCTTCCCTTTCTCAGCTAGAATCTCCTGTACGCAAGGCTCCTGCTGGCATCATTGTTTTTCATGCTGAGAAGTTGTTAGGGAACAGAAACCTTAGTAGGCTTTCTGACAAGAGATATGAGTCATGTCCGAGAAAGACAGACCCACTCATTATGATCTCTGCACCTTCAGGAGAGTAGCATTTACCACTATAATCTTTCTGGTACTCATGGGATTTTGCATCTGCCATCATTATGGGAGATAATCATTCTACTCATTACATAGTGCAATGGAACCTTTCCATGTCACCTGGATTCTCCCTTTAAGTGTAAGGATTCATGTACACTAGATTCCATTTCTTTGATTTTATAGAAGATTCCCCAGTGACCATTGCTTTTATCAGTCTCCATGCTTCTTTCTTACAGGCTACTCACACTTTTCTAGGAATCTCTTCTATAGTTCAGGAGAAGCAGTCCTTAAGGTCTGTTGACCTTTATTCCAGTGACAAATTCATCTTAACACCTACTAGTGAACAAGAGTGAGGTATTACCTGCATGGCCAAATCTTGAAGCTTGAAAACTTTAGCAGTTGGCAAATGCATAAAAAATGTGTTCATTATTGTACAACTTTGAAAATTCAAAAAAACCTATCATATGCTAATGTTGTTAGGTGTCACCCATAGTGACCTCTGAACAATAGATATGAACTCCGTCCTATCCTGTTGCCATCCTCACAATCTCTGACACACTTGAGCCCATTAGATGCTAATATGGAGAGATCTTTTATTGACGATTGAGGATATTTAATCATTATCTTGATACATTAAATCTGATATATGATGTTACTTCAATTTCTTATTACTAGGTTTTATCAAGTCATATATGGCTCACAGTGACCCTATGAACAAAGACCTGAATCCTGTCCTATCTTGTGCTATCCTTACCATCCCAGTACAAACATGCCCATTGCAGCATTCACTATCAAACCATCTTGCTGAGGATGTTGTCTTTCACTGACCCTCTATCTTTCCAAGTATGACGTGCCTTTCTAAAGAACAGCATCTCCTAACAACATGCCCAAAGTATATGAAAGATGATGAGATTTTGCCATCTTTACTTCCAGCGTGCACTCTCATTAACCTTTTTCTGGGACATATCTGTTTGTTCTTTTGACAGTCAATACTCCAACACAACAACTCAAAGCATTCATTCTTCTGTCATTCACTGTTTAGCTCTCAGATACACAGATGGTGAGTGGGAAAACCATGACTTGAATCGGGCACAACTTAGTCTTCAAAGTGACATCATTACTCTTCAGGACTTTCGAGAGGTCCCTGACAGCAGACTTTACCAATACTACATATCTAATGATCTCCTGGCTACTGGTATCAAGTTTGTCGATTATGAATCAAAGTATGAAACTGATAATTTCAATATTATCTCTATCTTTCATGATGTTGACTATTGGTCCAGTGGTGAGGATTTTTGTTTTCTTGATGTTGAGATGTAATCCATAATCAAGGTTACAGTCTCTGATTTTCTGAAGCAAGCACCTCAAATCAATCCTCCTCACTTCCAGCAAGCAAGGTTGTGTCATCTGTATAATGAAGGTCGTGGATGAGTCTTCCTTCAATATTGATGTCACATTCTTCTTCAGAGTCCAGCTTCTTGAATAATTTGCTGACCAAACAGTTTGAATATGTATGGAGAAAAGGATACAGCCCTGATGCATACCTTTCTTGATTTTTTTTTTGTTTTTGTTTGTTTGTTTGTTTTGGGTTTTTTTATTTAGTTTGTTTATTTTTCATTTCAATGAACATCTACAGAGAATGGAATTCCTTTCTTGATTTTTAAACCATGCAGGGTTCACTTTCCCTTTTTGGACAACAGCTTCTTGGTATAGATCTTGTCTAAGCTTATAGGTAGCTTAAAATTACTTGCATAAAGAGGGAATATGAATAAAACTTATTTTTGACTGCTTTAAGGAATCATAAAGACACTTAACACTCTACTTTTATCAAGCTATCTGGTTAAATATCTTATTTATAACGGCTTTAATATATTACATTTTGAATGTGACAAGGAAGTAGTTGAGTAGTGATATTTTTAACTCTTTCATATCTTAACAGTTATGAACCTGAACTATTTCCTGGCCTTATTTACAGAATGGTAAAGCCAAGAATTGTGTTGCTTATCTTTGTATCTGGAAAAGTTGTGTTGACGGGTAAGTGCTGAGATAATTTTCTGACTTTCATATCAATTGGATAGCTATGTATACACTTTGTTTTACCTTTTAAATAATTTTAACTTGTCAGTGTGCAGATAACTCTTGGAATTATAGATTACTTGCTAGAACAGTAGAAAGAAGTGTAAAATCTTTCATGATTCTCAGTACTCAAAGCAATAAGTTTTTCTTTTAATGTTTTTCTATATGTATCCATCTTTAAAAGTCACTAATTTTATAAAGCACAATGTATGGTAATGATATATGAAACACAACGTGTATGAATAAAAAAACATGTACACAGATTTTGTATGCAAACCAATATAAAATGGAATTTAAAAAGCCACTCACTAACTCATTGCAGTCAAGTTGAAACCGACACAAAGTTAACCTTCAAAACCTGTGTATTTTTCAGGAAACATTGCCCATCTTTCTTCCTGAGAGCTACTGGTGGATTCAAACCTCCAGAGAGGCACCACTTTGGCTTAGCAGTGTGGCTTCTGGTGGCTTAGCCACCAGAACCTCCTCTTTAAAATACAGTTGACCCTAGAGGACATTATGCTGAGTGAAATATCTCCGTCACAAAAGGACAAATACCGCATAGGGCCACTGTTGTAAAACAGGACATTGTGGTTGAGGGAAGACAGAGAAGAAGGGGAGGAATGATGTATACGACATTGCAACAGATGAGGGAGAGAACTGTTTAAAATGGATATATGATTAGGTATTGTCATGACAGGAGTCTAGAATGAAGGCTGCACAGTGCAGTGGACTTGGGAGGGATTGCATAGCAATGAAAGAGTTTTTCTTTTACTCATCAAGGAAAAAAGTGAATTGGGGGGGGCGAGTAAGAGGTGAGCAGGGAGAAAAGTGCAACAATGAATGACTGGAAAGCCTAAGTCTCTGTAAACTTTCATTAAATTCAATTTTAAAAAATCCAGTTGCTTTCAATTCAAGCTAAGGATAACTCTATGTGGCAGAGTAGAACTGTGCTCCATTGAGTTTTCTGTGGCTATTATTTCAGAAGTAGATGACCAAGGGCTTTCCCCCCTACCCAGGCATTTTTGGGAGGGTTCACACTGCCAATCTTTTGGTTAGAAGCCAAGCACATTGTTTGCACCATCCGTGGACTCCATATTCATCTATATATTTAGGGAGTTTTATTACACATCAGAATACATACAGCTTAACTCATTGTTCAAACATTGTTTTAAATGGTAACATAATGTTCTAGCACAGGGATTGGTCGACTTTTCCTGGAAAGGGGTAAACATTAAATACTTTAGGTGTTGTGGACAATAAAGTGTGTGCTGCAATCACTGAACACTGCCAATGTTGCAAAACTTGTTAAAGACATTACTTAAAAGAAGAGGTGTAATTGTATCCAATGCAACTTTATTTGTGGACACTGAAGTGTGAATTTCTTATAATTTGCCTCACCATGTAGACTGACTGCTCTATGACCAAAAGTCATACCAAAATACACAGCAGACCAGATTTGACTGGCAGCCCCTCGTTTCCTGATCCCAGTTATAACATCTTACTGAATCATACTTATTTTTTCATTATCAAGCATTTAAATGGTTCTTTGTTATATAAAGGAACAAATATTTGTCTATTTTATTCATGTGAATTATTTAGTATGCATTTCAAGAAATAGCACTTTTGGTTTAAGAGGTTTTGTGTTTGGTTTGTTGATGGTTTTTGTTTGTTTGTTGTTGTTTTTTCTCTTCAGTAATGCTCTTTAGTTACTTAAGGCTGCTATAATAGAAATAGTCCAAGTGAATGGCTTTGACAAACAGAAGTTTATTTCTTGACAACCATTCTTTTCTTTTCAATTAAATCCTTAACAACTTCTATCTTTTCTCTATATTATGAGGATCTTTGCTTGCTTTCTGTTGAAACATGAACCATATTTATTATAGTCTTAATTTCATCAGTAAGTGCTTCAAATCTTCCTCAGCAGCAAGCAAGTTATACCATCTGCAATAAGCAGATGGTTAATAAATCTACCTCCAATGCTGAGGCCATGTTCTTCATATAGCCCATGATTATATAAATCTACAGATTGAATAAACATCAAAAACCATATAACCCTGAAGTACACCTTTCCTGATTTTAAATTATGATGTATTCCCTTGTTTTGTTCTAAAGACTGCCAGTTGGTCTATGTACAAGTTCTACAGGAGTTTGAAGAAGTGATTTTGAATTTCCATTCTTCTCAGGTATCCATAATTTGTTATGATCCACACAGCTGAATGTTTCCCTGTAATCAATAAAATACAAGTAAACATCTTTCTGGCATTCTCTGATTTCAGCAAAGTCCTATCTGACGTCAGGAGTGATACCTTTCATTTCATATCCCCTTCAGAATCCAACTTAAGTCTCTGATAGTTCTCTGTTGATGTACTTGTTCAAGCTGTGTTTTATTCTCTTTAGCAAGGTTTTACTTGTGTGTGATATTAATGGTCTGTTCAGCAATGTCTGCATTCTGTGAACCAACTTTTTTTCTGAATGGGCACCATTATGGATATCTTCCAGTCAGGTGGCCAGGTAGCTTGCTCCCAGATTTCCCGGCATAGATGAGTCAGCACTACATTTGCTTAATGAAACTAAACTTCAGTGTTGCTTGAACTTTTTCCTTTAAATTAGTTTTGATCATATGCTACCTCCTAACATAGTTGAGCATTGACTATTTTTGATACAATGACTCTACGGATGACTTCTATTTTCTTTTTGAATGGCAGCTTTTTTTTTTTTAATGAAAGTTTATACATCATGCTTCCTGAATCATTCACTGTTTAGCACATAGAACCCTTCATTATAATTCAAGATTCCATTTCCCCCCCTTCAGTTCCTTAAGTTTAAGAAATGACAAGCATGATCTTCTTTTGATTTTCTAACTCCAGATCTTTTCACATTTCATTATCATACTTTTGTTTTCTAGGGTCACCCTTTGAGATCTTCTGATCAGTTCTCTTCATCATTTCTTCGATTTGTTTTAGCTTCTCTACATTCTAAAGCAAGTTTCAGAATCTGTTCTGACAAAAATTTTAGTATTTCCTGCCCTTCCTGACTTTTTAACAACCTTTTGTTTTCTTCATTTATGATGTATTTCAACAACTCATCTGGTCTTCATTCATTGTTGTTGACTGTGTCAAAACTATTAGTGCGATGCTCTCTCAATTCTGATTGTATATCCAAGGTCATATTTTGCCTCTCATAGAATTGTTTCAATTTCTTTCAGCTTCAATTTGAACTTGTATTTGAGCAATTGATGGTCTATTCCAATAAAGTTGTAGTCAGTTGTATTCTTGGTCTTGTTCTGATTGATGCTGATAAATTTTTCTACCATCATCTGAGTAAATACTCAGATGTAATAAATTTTATTCCCATGAATTTCATCCAGTAAGGCCCACATGTACAGTTGCTTTTGATATTTTTTTAAAAATGGATTTACAAAGAATAAACCATTGATCATATAAAATTCTATCATGTGATATCTGGCCCTTTTTTACCACCCAGTTTACCAAATGGTTTTTCAAACACCAATTCTTCTTTGATGATGAATTCAACACCATTATTCTTCAATTTGTAATTCCCAAAGTGGTAGGCCATATGATTATCTAATTTTAATTGGCCAAAACCACTCCATTTCAGGGCACTAATGGCTATAATTATATAACGTCATTGAGCTCTAGTATTAAGAAGCTGTACTGTGATCCAAAGGCATGCAGGTTGAGTCTACCTGTTGCTCCAAGGGAAAAAGATGGGCAATCTCCTTCTGTGGGATTATCTGCCTCTGAAAAACCACCAGAGGGTCAGCTGTGGGTCAGTTCTTATCTGACAGTAAACAACAATGTCTATGATGACTCTCTCTATAGGTCCAAAACCAATGAGTGGTAGTATTCACATCACAGAGTTTAGGATTTCCAACTCTTAGGATAATTACGTAAGGTCTCAAAATTGGCCATGTTTTAATATATTCATTATGTAGCATGTTCTCTTCTGTAAATAAAGTGTAATTCATTCCCTTTTGTCTACTTGATTTTAAGGGTTTTTTAATTCTCTAAAAATTTGTATGAACTCATAGTACAGTCACTCTGTTACATTTGTAACTACTAGCACCTGTTTTTATTTAAGTTTCTGTTGGTTTGTTTTTCATTACTTAGGTAAATTATAACACTTTTCATACTATTCTATCTTTGGTATTAATCTTGTCTAGAATGGCCTGGTTTTATATTTTTTACCCTTCTCTATGAAAAATATGCCAAAAGCACAAGGCATGAAGCAAACCAAGCTCCATGTTCCATCCCCAAAGAGCCAGTCTGACAGCTTAACACTACATAGTTTTCTCATCAATTTGTGCTAACTTCTTTTGACCTTTATTTTTATTTTTTACTCTGTTCCCTATTTCTGCCTTGAATGTTTAGTCTTCAAAATAACCTTTAAATTTTTCTAAACTCTTGACCCATTCTCACCCAAAACAACCACCCTGAGATTTTTATAGTACCTAAAGTTTAATTTAAAATAAAATAATAAAGTTGTATTCAGTCTCTCTATCCAGCAGAATGGAAAGTCTATCCTTTATGGTTTTCTATTACTTTTAAGGAAAGCTTCATAGTTTTCTTTTCCTTAAGAAATAACTAATATAGGGGAAATCTACTTGGAATTCAAAACCTTGAGAATATAATAAAACTAGAATTTCTCAAATGTCACTAGTGTAGAGGCTAGAATAGCAAAGACCCCTAGTAACTGGCACAAAGTTTACGCATATCCTAGACCTAAGTGGTGGTGGTTTGCTATTGTTATGTGCCACCTGTACAACAGCTCTTAACTCTGCCCTGTCTTGAACAGATGTTATTGTCTCTGACAGACCCACTCCCCACCTCCATTGCCCTAGTCACTGAGTCAATTAATGTCATTTAGGGTCTTCCTCTCTTGCACTGTCCATCCACCCTTCAAAACATGATGTCCTCCTCCTAGGACTGACTGGTTCC